CAGAACTAACAGACTCTTCTTCACTCTCAGAAATCTCCTGAACCTTGGCAGCTTTTTTATTCTTAGCAGCCTTTTCTTTGCCTTTATCTCCCCCAGGATTTGATTTACTACTCGTTACTTCTTTCTTATCCTTAATTTTATCTTTTTCTTTATCTTTATCCTTGCCTTTATCCTTTTCTTTCACCAACTTCTTAACTTTAACTTTAGCTTCAGTCTCAACAAGACGCCTAGTGTTCGGTAACTCTGGATAGCTATCAACAGACAAATTATCATCATTATCTAAATCTGGACTAACTAATTTCCTACTCAAAATCTCCATATAAACAGCAGCAGCTTCTTTAGTCTTCCTAGAAGGCCTCTGAGTTGAAGACTGTTGATGAGCAACTGAAGCAGCCGTAGTTGTTACTTCTCTACAAGACCGCGTGACTCGTCTCGACTCTGGCTTATTCGTCGCATTCTTCTTTATGCTCTTTATCGTGCGCTTTATCTGCTGAGTAAGCTTCACGTCCGACTTATTGTCCTCGGAAGAAGATTCTGAGCTCGAGGATTCACTACTCGGTTCTTTCACCACGGCTCTCTTTTTCGCCGTTCCCTTGGACGCTATAATCATCTTCGTTTTTCCAAAAGCCTTGAACGGCTTCTCCAGAGTCGTGTTGCTCCGCAGGCAGTGTCTCTTCGGTTCAACTCGTAAAAATTTACGGGGTGCCAATTTGTGGACAGTCTTCAGCATAGGCCTGCCTACGGTAGACCTTGTTCTTATAACGCAAGTCTTCTTTAATTTATTTTCAATCCTCTGCTTAGCCAGACGTTGCTCCTGGTACTTTTTCTTCAGAGCTTGGATCGTCGAGGTCGCTGATTTGTATTTATTTATCGGCTTTGGGATCTCTGTCGCAACTTTTTTCCTTGTTGGCTCGGTTACTTTTGTTGCTCCGGTTGTTTTAGCTGGACTTTGGTTCGTTACTGCTTTTGATCCTACTCCAGATGTACTCGGTGTCGGTGAAAATGTTGAATTACTTGTACTATTTAATTTTTTTGATGTTGTTTTTGATTCTGGTTTGTCTTTCTTTGACCCGGCATTAAAAAAATCTAAACTTGGTGGTAATATTGACGTTCCTGTGAATAATTATTTTTTTTTAATAACTTAAAAAATATATATATAATACAATAACACTGAAGTTGACAGACGTTAGAAATTTTTTTTTTCAATTTTATAGCAATGAAATTATTAAAAAAAAAAATTCCCACACGTGGAAATTTTTAAAAGTATTATTATTATTCTAATAAATTTGTAATAAAAATTTTTAAAATTGACTGAACTTCAGTATTACATAATACAATGGACTCTCGATAACTTGAACCTGAAGGGAAGTTTAACAAGATGTTCAAAATTTGCAAGTAGACCAAAAAAAAAAAAAGAAAACACTTGATTTGGAAGAAAATAACTTGGAGAGAAAATATTCATTACAAACAAGAATATAAGAAGCATTAAAAATTCCTATAGGAATTTAGATTTGATTGCTATAAGCTATAAGCTTGAATAGTTCTGAGAAAAACGTCTTTATATTTCACTAACTTTGACCTTATAGAGTTTCACTATTAAAATTTGAATTATAGAATATAAATATCCTTTATCATTACAGGAAAGGAAACGATACTAAGTTCAAGTTACACTGAAAAAAAAAAAGTACAACTATTGAGAAAATTTTTCTATCTCAAGAATTGATCGAATTATTTTTTGTTTAATTCAAGTGAACCTATTCGTTTGTTAATCTATCAAAATTAATGCCAATATTTTATTACCATATTTTATTATCATGGTAGATATTGATATTCTTCTGTCAAAAAACCAAAATTTATTTTAAACAATTCTTGAGCCAAGAAATTTTTTTTTTTCTCAGTGTACAGTCTAAATATTTCGAGATATCACGTATTGAAAAGTTCAACGGATGGGAATACAAATTTTTTTCGAGTTACTGAGGATTTCGATTTAAGGTTCGAGCTACCGAGAATCCACTGTAATTTATAAACAATACAATACCTCGAAAACAAAGAAATGTTAAAAAATCTTCAGTATTAGGACGTTTGTGCGTTATCAACTCAGTGACTTTACTGGGTTTAGGTTTTTCTTTTTCTTTAACTAAAGTTTGAGGAGAAGTAAATACAGTGGCTGCTCCTTGGGCGAATTTCCTTTGAGCATGAACTTTAGCTCTAAAAAAATAATCAATCATAATAAATTACACGCTCTAAATAATAATTACTGGCCCAATAATATTGAAATAAATAAAAAAAAAAAATAAATACCTTTTGGGAGACTCAGAAAGTGGATCCATAAGATCAACCAGGTCACCAACTTTTCTTTTCCTCTTGTCGTTTCTACTCAGCACCATTTTCGCTTCAATAAAAATCTAGAATAAAATAAATCCGACTTCGATTTTCAGCAAAATAATATAATTTTAATATTACAATTGCTTCTAAGTAATTAGCACATTATTTATTTAATATTTGCAAACTGCACTCCGTTCCACTGAAAAAAAAACCAACAAACATAAACCAGTGATAAAAAAACTCCAATTAAATTCTAAATCTTCTTTAAAAGTTAATATAAATTATACATACCAATAAAATTATTTACAAATGAATAATTTAAATCATCTGCTATTTATCCAGTATAATTAATTATTTATAAATACTATGTACAATTTTGTATACATATATATATTTATATTTATATATCTATCTATATATATATATATTTTTATATGGCACTCATTTCTATCCTGCTTTTTGTATCCACACTCTATATATAAACGCGAGTACACACATGTGTATATTAATTATATCGTACAAAAATCGATTTCTCAGAAGGTTCATTCACGCTATATGCATTTACAACAATACAATACACATTTACATACATGTAAATATATATATATATAACCTATACAGAAATTTATTAATGCATATTTTATCCGACAGGTGTCATTAGTTTTTTATTCTAACCTCATTTCACGATTTAAAACAATAGTAATAGAAGAATAATAAATTACCTGTGAAGATATGTGTTAAAATAAAAAAAATATTTATGAAAAAAAAGTTAGCCGATATCTTAAAATTTTTATTAAAAAATTGTTACAAAAAAATGAAAATTAAGTTAGCTGACATCTAAAAATTTTTAGAATTTTTTTTTATTGAAAAAATCATTACAGAAAAATAAAAAAAAAATTTTCATTTGAAAAAAACTTGAAACACTATCAATGAAATTTTTAAAAAATATTTTTTAGTTCTAATTTAATAAATAAAAATGATCAAAAAATTAAAAACGTCGGCTAACTTTAGTATTATTACAAAAAAAATTTTTTTTAATTATTTACATTTGTTAAAAACTATAAGTGCAATTTTTAAAAAATATTTTTTAGTTATAATTTAATAAATTAAGCAAAATAAAAAAATCAAAAATGTCGATGACACTGAAGTTAGCAGAGGTCTAAAAATTTTTGATTTTTTTTATTAATTAATAAATTACAACTAAAAAGATATTTCTAAAAAATTGCACTTATAGTTTTTCAAGTTTTTTACATGTGAAATTTTGTTTTTTAATTGTTTAATTAGAAATTTTTTTAATAAAAAATTTCTAAAAATTTTGAAATGTCAACTTAATTTTCATAAATGTCGTCTAACTTTATTATTATAAAATTTGTGCGTATATTTTTTTTTATTATTATAAAATTCCTTAAAAAAATCAAATTAACAATTTTATTTGCAGAGTTTTAAAAATAGCGCTCCAAGTAATTTCTGTTATTTAGTTGTAATTATTTTTTAATTTTTCACACATACCTATATTTCCATCAAACAAACTTAATTAACATCAAGTCCATAAATTAATTACACTTATAATTAATGAAATATTAATTACATACTTGATAAAAAAATTAATTTATCAAAAAATGATTTCTTCACAAGAAGAAATATTTCTTTTGCGACGAATGCGTAGTACAATATAAAAGCACATGGATGAATGACATTTGTGCGTGTGAGTAAGTATAAGTGTGTTAGTTATTGAAGTATTGAAAGAAGTATACATATAATATAACGTTATATTTATTATTGTAAGGCAGTTGAACATAGACAGAAGACCTCAAGACCGAAGACCGAGACCCTACCAAACAAGAGCCAAGACCAAGGCATAAAAGAGACACCAATACTATTGGAGTAAACCTGATATATTGGTGTGTATATGAATAGTTTTAAAGTTTTCTTACAATTACTACTACGACATAACTAAAAAGTCAGTAAGAACTGGTGCTAGTACTTGTACTAGTGCTACTTTTATTTTATTTTACGCTAACTCTATTAAATAAAATCTAAGCTTTAGTTGTGTTAAATCTAGCATTGCGGGCATTTATAATTAATTATCAGCGAGTTTAAATTTATTGCGTTGTGTGAAAATATATAACTAAACATTATTGTTTAATTCTGAACAATTGAACATAACATAAATACAAGTACCAGGCAGCATCAGCAAAACAATACAATAACAGAGTGTAGTACTTATTGACGTATGATAAAATTTGTTGTGTACACCAATTATTTTCAAGGTCTTTATAAATTTTTTTGTTACTTTTTTTTTTTTATCGAGTTAAGTAGAATGAATTTATTCAGCTAATTTATTAGCTCATTATTTCGCAATTGGGTCATGTATATTTAAAGAATATGAGCTGGTGATTAACTCAAAAAATGCTGGTTTATTTAAATGGAATTTTTTTATTTATAATTGTAAAAGTGCTGATATTTTATTCTATTTATATGCGTGACATAATTTATTTGTGTCTTTGATTTTTAATGCATTTTATTTTATCTAGAAGATCATTTTATTAAGAGGCGGCTTTTTAATTTAATTGAGTGGAAAAAATAAAATAAAGTGCTCTTGATAAGTTAATTAATAATATTGATAATTGTTGTTATTATTATTTTGCAGACTCTTGAGAGATAAATAAACCATCATGTACAAAAATGGACCACCACCTTCATATGATGAACCCCCACCATCTGCACCACCCAGTTACTTTCAGAGTGTAGGTGGTGTACCTCCAGCAAGTCCATTTACACCAGCACCAACGTGTAAGCCTTCAATTAGTTATTAAGATCAATAACTAATAAATAAAGTCAATGATTATTGATAAATATAAATACATCATCAATGACAATTTTTATTATATTTGTTAGATGCTAGTGGACCAACCATTGTAACAACAATAGTACCATTGGGACCTGGACCAACCCATACTATTTGTCCTCATTGTCATGCTGAAATAGAGACTGCTACTAAGACAGAACCTGGAATGATTGCGTATATTTCTGGTGCTGTTATTGCTCTGCTTGGGTAAATTTATCTATATGAAATTTAATGGGTCAATTTATGATGAAAAGTATTGTATCTTGTGAACTATTGACATTTTTAAAGATATAAGCTCATCCCGATGTTACACTCATCAAGACCTTTCATTTGAGTACCCACATCATTTTTTCATATATTTATATATATTATATATATATGTATATATGAAAAATATATAAAAATGCATGTGGATACTCAAATGAAAGCTCTTGATGAATGTAACATCGGGATGAGTTTATATCTTAAAAAATGTCAATAATTAAGAAATTACCCTGTATCTTGTGAACTATTGACATTTTTAAATATATAAGCTCATCCCGATGCTACACACATCAAGACCTTTCATTTGAGTATCCACATCAATTTTTCATATATTTATATATATATTACATATATGTATATATGAAAAATATATCAAAAATGCATGTGGGTACTCAAATGAAAACTCTTGATAAGTGTAACATCGGGATGAGCTTATATCTTTAAAAACGTCAATAGTTAAAAAAGTACAGTGTAATTTAACAAAAATCATTATTTAATGAAGCAAAATTTTATTTATTTATAGTTCACAAGCCACAGCAATCACATAGTGACTGCAAGGTTGCTAGTACTTTAAAAATGAAATATAATATCCGAGCGGTGATTGTAATTTTAATTTGTCAACAGATGCTTCCTGGGATGCTGTCTAATTCCCTGTTGCATTGACGAGTGCATGGATGTACATCACACTTGTCCAAACTGCAAAGCTTATCTTGGACGTCACGGCAGATAAAAATTTTAAAAAAATTATTACTACTATTTTTAGTGGTAATTTAAATACTTATACACATTTATACAAAGTATTTTTAACAGCTAACGTGGAATCTCAAGGCAGATCTAATGTTTTAAATGTCTCTATTTTTAAATTTATTTTTTAATTATTGAACTCACGTATCAAGTTTATCTGAAGATACAGTCATTAATTTGAGAGAAAGATAAAAAAATCACTCAGACTCTGGAAGAGGATGAGTAATTTAAGAATCAACAGTATGAAGAATTATTTAAGTAGTAGAGACAAGTATCAATCGACAAACGGAATATATTAATTAATAATTATTAATTATTAACGAAGAGATATGGCAACTGATAACTATATAATTAACTAAGAATTAAAAATGGAATTTTTATCATTAGTAATAATTGTTATATTTTTTTTTCTTTCATAATATTGTGTAATATGTTTTCAAAACTACGTCACAGGGCTTTTATACTTATCAGCTAATTAAATATTCATATTCAATCTCGTGCAATTTTAAACGCGATATCGACTTTTTAAAAAACTTGGATGACATTCCAACGAATACTAAAAATTATACGAGATTTTATAAATTTTAACGTGAATATTTTCTATCAGGGAACATAAGTGCTATCAGTGCCTTAAACTATAGTACAATTAAATAATTCTCATTAATTTTAGCTTTGATTTTTGATTTATATGTTGAAAAAAATCTATGAAAGATTTTACTCTCGCACACTTATTACACAAATATTTATAATGGCTTCAAATAATTGTACAATGTCCATATATATTTTTTAAAAAATGTTACAGCTTTAGCTGTAACAATTGCCACAACTGTGCCTTCAATTACGTGTCTATCAATTTTGTTTTACACGTTAATTTTTTTAATTATTACCTATCAGTTAGATTAGTTAAATAGATAACGCTTTTACCTAACAATTTATTTTATCAAATTTATGTAAATCGTATTATACATATATGTAATTTATAAAGGAGAAACAAATAAATATATACATATATATATATATATATCTATATATACAAAAAAAATATTAGATCTTTTTTATTCATTCAATAACTTGATTTTTTTTAATTCCTTGTTGATGAAAAAAATCCACATTCTTTCATAAAGAATTTTTCTTGTGTATTCAATAGAATTATAGCTTATAAAAAATTTATTTGTGCACCTAAACCTTGAAAGTTATTTGATGACGTACTCTCAATGCGTAATAGGGTCCACTCTTCTAAATTAATTCCGATATGCTCCCAAGTTTCTAAAAGTTGATTTTAAGAAAATCAGTAATGTTAGATTGTAATAAATTTATGTTTAAAAAATAAATTTAATAACAAATTTTTACGTCGCGAGTCCTCGCATTTTTTTTATATTATTATTATAATATAAAAAATATTATTATTATGATAATATAAAATTATCAAATAAAAAAAAATAATTTTTAAAGGAAGTATTGCTAAAAAACTACAAAAAGGGTCAAGATAATTTTTAACCTGATAATTACTCATTAAAATTAAATATATTAATTATTTTCCAATTCAACAAATTTATTTGCAATTCACACTGCAGTAAATGTTTAATTTTGTCACATACAGAACATACAATTAACTATACGATTTTTAATTAAATTTAAAGACAATGCATTTACATAAAAACATAAATTACATCTTACAAGTATAAAATTAATATTTCAATGGCTCAATTCTATTATGTTCCATTGAAAGAAGTGTGCTGTTTTTGTTTCCATTAATATTTTTGCGAAAAATATAATTTCAATAATTAATTTTCATCTACAGCACCTTTTTACTCAAAAAAATTATAAACATACATATATATATATATATTTGTTTATATCCATGATATATTTTTAATTACAAGTTTTAATTAAATATTAATTATTTCGTTATTAAATTGATAACTAAAAAAATTAGTATTGGAATATTTTCCCATCCCCGCTATTCGTTTGCTAATATTTTTACTTCTCAGCGGAAATTTAAGGACAGTCGTCCCAATATTAAACTATTATTTACAAACTTATGTATATTCATTTATTTATATATAATGGCATAGTGTTAATTTGATGCTAGTAAATAATCATTTAAATAACAATATAACATTATGCACAAAAATCTTTTATTAAATGCAGCCGAAGTTTCAAACATTTTTTTTTATGTTTATGAGATATATATTTATTTCAAACCATACAAAAATAGTAAAAAATCGTTTTTATTTCAAGACTTTGGAATGCTAAAAATTAAACTATGTAAATATTACTTTTTATTATTAAATGTCAGAAATTTCTACTGCATTTCTGGTCAACGAAAAAAAAAAAAATGTTTATTTAAATTATAAACTAAAAACAATATCGTGGTTTATTATTTTTTGCTCATGGCAGTGTTAATTGAACAGTTAAAATTATTACACTCATACAGAAAAAAAAAAAAAAATTACTTTAAGTAAAATGACTTTAAGTCTGAACATTGACCTTTACTTTTTTTTTTTTATTTTATCTGCACTCATTGTACGAAAAAATAAAAAAAAAATAACTAAAAATATTTATTATCAGGGATTAAAAATTTTTTTAAGCTCCAAAAGAGAAAATAAATATTTTTTTTTCTTTTTGAATCTTAATAAAAAATTTCTTTGTTGGTATTCTAAGAAGTAAATACTTCTTATATAAAATAAAAAAAGGCACTTGTACCATTTGATTTTTAGAAAAAAAAAAAAAAACATAGCTTTAAGAACTGTTTAAAAATTTGAGCAATAAAATAAACGTACTCATCCAAAAACAAATATATAATTAAAAACCGTAGATATGGAAAAAATGTATGATAAAAAATGTCGATTAATCTCTATAATTACCAATACACATAATAATGATGAATAAAACAATGAACTATTAATTCTAAGCATCAGTACCAATATCTAGACTCCTTGAGTCTTGATTTGAGTCATGCTGACTTCCATTCTCTGAAGAAGCACTACTCGATAAGCCCGACTGGTCAGAGTTCTTTTTAACTTTAGGTTTATATTCAGTTATAATTACGGTAACATTATTAACAGTTACTTCATTGGTTTGCGCAGTACTGCGATCGACATTTTTCAACCTAGGCGGATGTCGGTTTTTCCTCCTGGGCTTATCCAATTTGCGTTCTTTGTTATCTTTCGACGAACTTGTCGTACTGCTCCCACTGCCGCCTTCTTTTTTTCCTGGCTTCAACAGCGGCACGTACTGTTGCTGTGCAGCCTAAAACAATAAGCAAAATAAATTTTAAATAATTTTTTCCAAGCATCGCCAAATAAATTTACTTCTGTGCAATTTTCGAGCCAAAATTTCAGAATTAAAAAATTTATAATTTATATCTTATTTTATTTATTTATAGTTTAATGCCAAGGCAATGGCCAAATGGCAAAGTATACATTTTAATTGTATTAAAGTACACGTAGTTAAGTAAAAGATGATTTTAGATTATTTTACAATTTCATTTAGAATATTTTTCTGTGTATGGATTAATATTTAAAAAAAAAAAAAAAGTATGTATAATAATCAACAAATCACTGCAAGAATAAGTTTATGTAGATAGATAAAGTAGTATTAGAGATCATTCAATTTATATGGATGAATAATTAGCTGTTTTAGGTTGATAACAGGTAGATTCCTTAGTAGAAAAAACAAGAGAAGGTAATTTTAGCAAGTAAGTTGATCCATAAAGTAGACTACACGGAAAGAACAAGATGACACTGAATATCATCGCAGATTATACTCAGTGATATCTGTGGTGAAAAAAATTTCAAACAGCAGCTAGAAAAATCCAGATTTCTGGGATAATATCCAGTGTCATCTTGTTCTTTCCGTGTAGGCTAAGTAAATTTTTATATAATTTAAGGTATCTACTAATTGCTGTATAATGTTGATTGACGTTCAAATAAATAAATAAATAATTAAAAGCATCTGTTCTTAAATAAAATCTATCAATAAATAAAAAAAAAAAAAAATAAATACCTGTTGAGCAGCCAGTTGAGGGTTGATGCGGGGTTTCCGCGTAGAAGTACCTTTACGCACGTCGCACATTAGGCACTTGAATGCTTCTGCTGTATTTCTGTACGTACAGACACTACAGTCCCAATAATTATCTTCCAATACCTTCGCCTGACGTTTACCGCTTCCCGAATGGTTCATTGTTCATCTGAATAAGATTTAGTCACCACTTAACCTTCTTAAAAGAGATTATTTCTCTTTATGCGGGTGGTTCGTTTCATGTAAATTTCTTTTTTTTTTTCCCTTTTATTAATAATCAAACAATTTCCCAATAAATCTATGCTCCCACGAGCTAACTCCTTACTAAATTACGGTGATCAAAATAATTGACCAGTCGTACATCAACTAGATGTTATATATAAGTTCCTGATGGACTTATTCATTCTTTTATCATCTCCAACACCATCTCCGTGCGTTAATAAGTCTTTTATATTTGCCATCGTTATTTTTATTTTTATCTGAAATAAAAAATTGAATATATTTTAATAAATTATTACTATTTATTAATTACCTATAATTAACAGTTAATAAGTACTTACTCGATAAAATGAATAATTTATCACCATAAATATTTATAAATAATAATTATAACATTTTTACAAAGTTATCATTGATAATTACTCAATTATCCGCATCTTTGTAAAATTAAGTACTTAACTTTGCGGATTTATTTTGGTAAATATAGAATTTCCTTATCAATACAATATAGCAATTAATCATTCACAAGCACAAATTGACAGCCACAAGAATGTTAAACCTCAACATGTACGACGTTAAATTTTTTCCTTATTTATCACTTTATTGATGCTTAAATTCACATTCTTATTTATTTATCAGCATCCAAATTTAATTTATAATTTATTTTTTATTTGTTCAACAATAATAATTGTCTTTATATTGTCTTATTTATTTATCAGATGGACAATTATTATTGTTGTACTTTTTTGACAAAGCTGAGAAATGACGAAAAATAATTATTGACAAACAATGTCTGTGGCGCTGCAGTCAATTACTTTTACAACTACCAACCATGTACAGTTTCAGTCGTACCAATAGTTTACAAACTGAAGTTAGGGAAAAACTGTCAATTTTTTTAATTTTTCTAAAAAATCAATAACAATAAAAAAAATACTTTAAAAAAATTGCACAAATAATTTTTCTTAATTTTAACTTGTGGAATTTTTTTTTATAATAATTTAATTGCTATAAAATTATTAAAAAAATTATTATTTCAGTTAACTTCAGTGTTTATTCACTTAAAAAAAAAAAATTAAATATGGCCGCAGATTCGGCGGAAATTTTAAATATGTAAATAATTGTAAGCACAAGTTACTCAGTCATAACCTAATACATAGTCGCTTTTTATGCAATTGATTATAAAAAGTAATTTATAAATAAATATTGAATTATGAAAATGTCTTACTCAAAGTTAAAATATTCTAATATGTTTCTGAAGAGTATCAGAAAGTACAGCACTGAAATTTCTGAAAAATCGTAAGTTAATTTTTAATTATAATAATAACAGTAAAATTTTTAACTCACAATAATGGTCAATTATAATAATTTGTAACTTATAATTTCAGATCTAAATGGAACTCGGTAGTTGGTCTAGAAATTCATGCTCAAATATCTTCAGAATCAAAATTATTCTCTGGTGCAAGTACAGCTTATGGACAGCCAGTTAATTCCTGTGTTTCTTTTTTTGATTGTGCGACTCCAGGAACACTACCAGTAATAAATATTATTAATTATTAAATTACATTACTTGACTTAATAATAGTCTGTAAATTTATTCTAGGTTTTAAATAGAAAATGCGTTGAAGCAGGAGTCCTTACTGCGCTAGCTCTTTCATGTGACGTAAATGAAACATCTTTATTTGACAGAAAGCATTATTTCTACGCAGATTTACCAGTAAGTTGATGAAACTGAAATTGAGAAAGGTTTAATAATTTTTAGAATTGTTTTAACAAATTAATTATAGCAAGAAAAATTTATTTAAAAAATTCCATTCTTAAAAATTGTAAATGGAATTTTTTTAAAATAATTTTCTAAAGTTGGTTTAATTTTTATATTTATATCTGCTAGGCAGGCTATCAGATTACTCAACAAAGACAACCGCTAGCAGTGAACGGTAGCCTTAAGTTCAATGTGTGGACTCCGGGTGTCCACAAAACGCCGTATGAAAAAGTAACAAGGATAAAACAAATACAATTGGAGCAAGACAGTGGCAAAAGTCTCCATGATACTTACATAAATAAAAGCCTCATTGATTTGAACAGAGCCGGTATGCCTTTAATGGAACTGGTATTTGAACCAGACTTATCAGATGGCGAAGAAGCTGCAGGTTTAGTTAAAGAGCTGATGAATATTCTAGTAAGATTAGGAACTTGTTCATGTAAAATGGAAGGTAATGGTTTTTAATTTATTTACAGGATATAATTACAAAGTCAGGTTTTAATTGATAATTTCAGAGGGAGCGTTGAGAGTAGATGCGAATGTTTCTGTAAATAAAGAAAATGAGCCATTGGGTACGCGCACAGAAATTAAAAACATCGGGAGTGTACGAGGTGTAGCGGGAGCTATTAAGTACGAGATAAGAAGACAGATAAAATTGTTGGAGCAAGGAGAAAAAATAGTCAACGAAACTTTGTCATGGGATGCAGCCTACCAGAAGACTGTGATGATGAGAGACAAGGAAGAAAAACAGGACTACCGGTTCATGCCTGAGCCAAATTTACCTCCCTTGCGTCTTTATATGGGTCAGGGAGACAATAAATATAATCTTATAGACGTTAACAGTTTTAAGAAAAAAATTCCAAGATTGCCTAGTGAAATTCGTCATCATTTTGTTAATGAGTTTAAATTAATTCCATTAATGGCTATATCTATTGTTGTAAGTTGAGTCTATTTATTATTTGATTGTGTTGTTTATAAAACAGTTGATTATTTGTAGGATGAAAAAAAATTGACGGTTTTATTTGAAGAGACACTCGCTGAAAATAAAAATAGAAGTCCGAGAACTGTTGCCAATGTTTTAATGAATGAAGTGATGCAGTTTCTCAATAAAAATAAATTAACACTGGATAATCTGTGAGTATCGTAATTGTAATAAATAAATTTTATTAGAGTTATGTAATAATTTTTATAGTTAATTTTTTTTTAGAAATATTTCTTCAAAACAGTTTGGACAGATTATTGATTTATTGGAAGCAAAAAAAATTAATTTGCTAGTTGTTAATAATATTCTGGAAGTTTTGATTGAAGATCCCGAAAAAACACCTGAAGAAGTATATATATTTAATTTATTATATTTTTTTGGATTTTAAAAATAAATTTTTAATTAAATGATTTTTTTTTTAGGTTGCGCAAGAATCTAACTTGGAACTTATAAATGACGACGAAGAGTTACTAAAGTTAATTAACAAAATTTTTGAAGACAATCCTAAAATGGTAAAAGAATACCAAAACGGAAAGGACAAAGTACTGCGTGCAATAATGAATCAAGTTATTAAAAAATCAAATAGCCGGGCCAATTTGCAGAAAGCATCAGACATGATACGTAGACTGCTGAGACCAAATCAATTTAAATAAATATAAAATCAAGTACTGAAATGATAGTAAATACAAAAGAATTAAAGTAAGTAAAGCGCAAAACAAGATGTCTTATAATTCACATTAATTTTTATAATTGACTTCACAAGTACAAAATCAAGTGGAAATAAATATTTCGTTACACAATATTTGATAAAGTGTCATGATTTATAATTTTAATAATCAATAATCGTTTTGAATGATTTATTTTACAATTTATTATTCTAAATCAGCCAGATCTTGATATCAATATATTTCGACATTCACCACAAGGGTATAATTTAAAGCTAATTATTCCTTTCGACTCATATTAACTTATAATAATTAAATAAAAATTATAATTTCATTATTTTATAAACAATACACAATTTTATTAATCATAAATAATTACACCCTAGCAGAGATACTCTAATCTTTGGATCTTTGCAAGAGTGTCCAATCATTATACTTAAATTCGCTTTTATTAATAATCAATAATTCAAAAATAAATACCTGGCTAAATATGTAAATATTCATCTAATATTAAATCGTGCTTACAATCGTTATTGCATATTCGTCACTACGCTTACAGTATAAATTATTATTTTAAATATACAAATTATTTTTCACTAAATTAGCTTCGTTAATTTGATTGTTCCTTGATATAAATAATCAAAAGATATTTTTAAGCTACACTAAAAAATTGACTGGTGCATTACACCTATAATTATTACTGTTACAATTATTTAAGTTAATTTTCAGCAAACAGTTGTACAACAACGATATATATTATGCATTCAAGTTATCGATTGAACACACTTAATACTATCATTTTATAATATAAAACACATAAACATTTACGCAATTCCATTATTTAAATTCTTATTATCTAAATGGTGTTACAAGATCGATTATTTCATTTTTATTTTTTTTTTATTATTTATGATTTATTATTATACTCACGATTACTTATAAATTTGAGTTTAAAAATTTATATATAATTAATACAAACGACAATTTATAATTTACAATAAAAATTACGCGAAAAAATTTGCTCAATTGTAATTTAATTATCACGTTTTATCAGCAGTTGACAATAATTAATAAATTACACAAGACAAGTCGATAAACGCCGTAAAAATTTATTCTTTGTATAAAAGCAAGTTTATATAAATTTTAGCAATTTTTTTTTTATGATGAATTTTAAAAATTGTAATTAAATGATTGGCCATTACGGAAATGCATATTGTCTCGTTATATATTTTATTCACGTTACCTCTAATGGTATGGTGGCAATGATAGTAATTATTATTAATATTTTTTTAAATTAATTGCAGTCTTGATTTATTTATTAAAGGCCACTCTAGTGTAACGGAGTTTGACATTATTAATTTATAAGTATATAGTATAGTATAATTTATATGATATTTTATTTTGACTTGATTTAAATAATTATTAATTAAATATTTATTACATTTAAAAGTAAACTGTTCAATTAATAATTAACGGCTTATCATGGCCTTAATGCATTATAAAAGATCACAATATTTATTTTTTAAACGCCAATATATTTTGTTTACTGTATTAATTGTGAACACGTTCAATTGTGTGTTAATTATTTTAAAAAATGCTACTTGATATCAAATTAATCGATAATGTTGAAAAAAAAAAAAAAATTGCGTATCTACATAATTACATCAAGTCTTATTATTAACAATCAAAATCCAAAAAGAATTCAATTTAAAATGTAGAAAATTTTTTCTTTTACAAATTAATTAAAAAAATTTTTTTTTAATCCTTTACTATTGTAATGACATAGACATAGGCATAAACAATTAATCATTAATCTCTTAAAATCGCCCTTTACATGACACAGCCACTTGTGTAACTGATAATTTAATAATTGACAATAAATAATTAATAATAGACACAAAGATCAATATTTAATTAATGACAGTAATTATAATGTAAAATAATCAACATTGTTATTAAATATTGTTGAGTAATTAAAATATTTTATAAAGCAATAATAATACAATTTAACAATTATTTATTATATCTTTTGTTAATTAATTAAATTAATTGTTTGTTCATTTAATTAATTAATTTGTATGTTTTTTTTTTTTTTTTATTTATTTATTTGTTGACTTGACGATATCATTTCGAAAGTTTACTAATGACACGTATTAATGCGCCATTCTCGTCCTTTAGCCTCTGGTTTTCGCACTTTAATTGCTCCATCATCTAAAAGACAAAATTTCAATTAAAATATTTTTTATAAAAATATCAAGTCTATTAATTATTGTATAATAAATAATTAATAATATTAATATAGCAATATTGAACACGCCCTAGCGGTGTCTCCACTTTTTATAAGATTTATTGTTTTAAAAAATTAATTAGTGCTAGAGCAACAATATAACAAGTGATTCTTTCACGCTAATATTTTATTATACTATGGGACGCGTTTATTTTTTAATTTTCTCATTTATTTTATGGATTTAATTGGAGAGTGAACATTCGGGGATTTATAATTAAGTGTGTTGAAAAACCATGCCAGTAAATTTTGTAAAACACGTGCATACTATTTATAAAACACAAGTACATGAGTAGAAGTGAGTATGTTTGTTTTTGTTTAGATTTTTATTTTTAATCTTATTTTATAAAAATAAACAAAACAAAAAGATTTATTTGTTAGTTAATGAATGTTATTTGGAGGAAACCTTGAGGAGTAAGGATAAAATTCATGCTAAAATTATAATACTTTATTTCATAATAATTTAAAAACCGTGATGCGAGGTTCAAAATTAAACTTGTTCATGCGCTTGGCGTGCTGGCTATTGGAAAATTACTATGATAATAAATAATCATTCGCGTAAATATTATCTTTTAGAGGGAGTATTTTCTTTTATCACAGCACACAAGTATAATTAGACTATTTGCTAATTTTTTTTTTACTTCTTTATACAAATTATTATCACAAATTTACTAAGTGAATTTTTTTTACAATAGAATAGAGTAATTTTTAATTTAAACAAAAACGTTTCAGCAAAAGTACTAATAAAATTTTGTTTATTATGAAAGAAAAAATTGTTTTGTTTTGAGAATGTATGAGAATTTTAATTATGTAATTATCTTAAAAAAAAAAAAACAATTAATAATTTTAATTATTTAAAACAAAAAAGTTATTTACGAAAAATTTTCCATTCAACATTTAAAAAAAAATATTAATTTTAAAACAACATATAAGTTTAAAAAAAAATTTAATAAATAATCTCATACATTCTTAGTGAGTAAGTGTAGCACATTATTTAATAAAATTTTAATACTGCATGTAAACAAAGAAAAACTAATTATTAAAAATTAATTAATGAATTAATATATAAGTATATAATTTAATAATTTACAACTGTTAACGCAATGCTTTTTCTTTTGTGTATTATTTTTTTTTTTTTGTTTAAATATTTTTCTTTCTTTTTTTTTTAATCCTTTACCTATTTAGTAGTATTGGTGAGTTTGGATACGACGCGGGTAAGTGCCCGATTTTCGGCTTTCAATCGCTCATTTTCGGCTTTGAGCTTTTGCAATTGCTGTAATAAATATTTAAAGAGTTAGCCTAAACCTTATTAACCTTTTTTAATAATTAAAATCCCAAGACCATACAAGAGGATAGGAGAAAGTGATTAGATTCTGGGCAGAGACAATCATCTCAAAAAAAAAAAAAAAAAAAAAAAAAAAACTAATAATAAGATAACTTTTTTTTTTAAGGATCAATTGTTCGTTCAAAAGACTGATAGACTAAGCAAAAAAAAAAAAAAAAAAAAAAAAAACTAATATAAGATAACTTTTTTTTTTTTTTAAGGATCAATTGTTCAAAAGACTGATAGACTAAGCACTCGTGTAGGTTCGAAAGAAAAAGATACGAGCCAGAGTTTGAAAGTAAAAAAAATAAAACATAAAAGCAATGCCACGAAGCCCGGTATATTTTCTCCGACATAACTGGTATTAAATAATTAAAAAAAAAAAAAAGACAGATAGAGAGAAAGAGAAAAAGAAAAGAGAACAAAAACTTGCACCCTTCCTGCACTCCACCGTAGCAGACAAAACAGTCGAAAAACTCGAGCGTGCATCTTAACTATTTTTTATAAAAACAAAATAATTATTTTTGACGTTTATAATTATTTTTAATTAAATATTTTTGATCCATTTATATTTGTATACGTAATTAAAAAAATAAAATAAACTCGTTTTGATAAACTGCTTATCTGACTGGTGGAATTAATTAATAATAAATTTGAAGAGCCTCAGAGTAATTAGAAGAGTATCCAAATATAAAGAGATGTCAGACGACAAGTGGAATTTAAAGTAAAGTAGAATACATGTATAATTAATAAAAATGACAATAATAATAAATAAAAAAATTACTTTTAATTCCTCCTCCATCTCCGAGAGCTTTCGTTCCATAGCTCTCCTCTCACGTTTTTCCGCTTCTGAAAGAGTGAGTTTACTCTGTGTGCTCTGTACTTTTTCCAACGAACTCCTAGCCTCTTTAAGCTGCTCATCAGATCGCCGTAATTTTTCTTTCAGCCTTTCATTTTCAGCTTGAGACTCTTCCCAGAGTTTTTTGTAATCAAGCTCGCCATTCTCCGAGTTTGAGGACTTTATTCTGCTGCTCGGAGTCACTGATATGTCTGACGACAGAGATGTTATGGATCCAATCCTACTCGAACGTCCGGATCGTTCATTGCCGCTCTGAAATAAAATAATTACGGGTTAATAAATTTACTATTAACAATCACTCGCATTTAATTTCTTACGGCGTATCCTTCAGAGCCTGCCAAACTTTGCAAACTAGAACTTCTAGATCCAATACCCGAGGGCTTAGATGCCTTCGGTCTGTTAAAACTTTCAGCTTTTTTAACGCGTCTATTGTAATTATCTGGAGATTTTTTAGTTGAATTAACACTGGAATTATTTTTGCTGACGGCGGTAATGCTACTGCCAGTACTGTTGCGATTGTAATTATAACTAGTTGATGGTACAGCGAGATTTAACGAACTGACAGCTGAATGGGATGGTAAAGTGAGACTCCCATAGCCAGAAGCCGTTCCACCGTAAGTCGTATAAGAAGTTGGATAATTTAAATTATTTATTGAGTTAGTGTAGGGATTTTTGTAAAATGACTTTGAAGGTTTGTTAATACTATGACTAGGTGAGTTATAATTAGACGTATTGATACCCAGTAAATTAGAAAAACTACTCTGATTTGATCCAAATAAACCGGTAATACTTCTTGGTCTATTTCTGAATATCGAACTGCCATTTGCGGATGCTTGTGCCCGTAAACCAGCAGCGGTTGTAGGTTTAGCTTGAGCCCTTTTTCGGTAAGTTGACATACTTTTGTTTTATATAATTAAATAATTTTTAACAATACTGACAATTGTAAATTTTAATTTTAATTTAATCTTGACCTAATTTTTATTTCATTGACACTAAAACGAATTAACTAAATAAAAATAATTAACAATCATAATTGGTAAAATTCTTAATTTTTTACTCCCGTTCCCGTGGTCCACGGCCACTGACAGCAAGTGTTTGACTGATGGAAACAAGCCAGCAAAACTCACAGTCATCAGCCATTTTTATTTTTTATTTCTATACCTCTCTCTCTCTCTTATGATCATTCTATTAATAGAATTATAAATACAGATTTACTTAAAACATCTAAATTAACAAACGGCTATTTAAAATTCCTTTTCATCCTTAATTTAATTATTTATTAATAACTAAGCTATTGTCACAGCTTAAATCCACCCTGTCAGTTTAGTTAAATCCACGAATTAAATTTAATAATAGAAAAAATAAAAAACTAATCCCGGTAAAAATTATCAACGAATGTCAGAGGTCGATTCAAATGTCAGAGTATAATTTTAGGTGTCTACAGTTAATGACCATGTCGTTTAAATTTATTTTTAATTGCTACGAGTGTTATATTATTTTTATATCGTTCTTTAGATAACTCAGATAAATACACGCGAGTCTATTGACACGACGAGTCTATAAATAAAAATAAAAATAATACAAATAAAGAGAAAAAAAAAAAAAATAAAAATCTGATATTCAGATCCAACCTCGCATCAGATCAACTCGATCCGTCTGTCGATGAAAGCTTACTTAATTTTTTTTTGACACTTGATCTTTTAAAAATCCATATGCATCGTTATTACATTATTTATACATGTGTTAAAAGTTTATAAAAGCATAAAATAAGTAAAACAAACCAGCAGATTGTTGTATTCTATTTTAAATCGCCGGTATGTAAGAATAGAGGTTAATCTTAAACAGAAGCTGACCTAAAATACGTTTGAGAAGACATCGTGTGGTGTTGTATTAAAGTGTAAAATAGATTTAATGTGATGTATAGTCATTATCATCATCATCATCATTTGTTTTAATCCGTAAATACACTTTTGTGTGCGAATCAGACATCGAGTCTGCCAATAAATGTTTTTTTTTAAACAATTTTAAATTTACGCGTTATTATACTTAGAAAATTTTTACTGTTATTAAGAGCGATGACGGCAAGGTGACGATGCGATCATAAATCATTGCAAGCTACTTAAAACTTTAACGAAAAAAAAAAAAAAAAAATAAAATTTATTTCAATCATCAACATACTTCTGTGTGATTGGTTTTGGACTCCTCGTAATCACCACCAGCTGAGGTATCTTGTTTATCAGGATCTATTTCCTAAAAAAATATAAACACACATGTAAATAATCAGCAAATGTATTTAACTTAAAATAAAATAACATTCTAGATATTATTAATAGATATTGGGAGTGTGACGTCAAACGGAATAGTGATCTGGTTCGCCTACACGTTTCAAACTCTTTTTTTTTTTGGTTTTTAATTCAGGACCATTGTAAAAACAAACATGCATTAAACCATCAATTTAAATTGATATTATAAATAAAATGTATTATTTGTTAAATAAATAACTGTACTAACATCCATATCCACATGAACAACTCCAGTAGATCTTCTCTTGGGTCTACGTCGCCTTTGAATAACAGCTTGGGTAGCTTGGGCATTTCTACTGTCATTCTCCTTGTCTTGATCTAAAAACAATCATCAATCAAAGGTTTAAATTACCACTCAACTAATTACCTATTAACATTTAATGTTAAATATATATTACCTTTGTCTTCCGGTGATTTTAATGATCGTCTAAGTGGCAAAGTAACTGTTGCATCGGCAGTACTCGTTGCTATTGAGTCTACTGGTGCTGAACTTGGTCGAGGTATACCTGTTCCACCTGAAGGCCTTCGTATGTACGCTGTTGTTGTGTCCGATGACTTATTATTAGCATCTTCCAGCTGGAACTAATAACAGTTTATATATTATTTATTTATTTATTCATTTATTCATTTGAACGTCAATTGGCATTATATAACAATTAGTATATTCCTTAACTTATAAGATATAAATTATAGATTTTTAAATTCTGAAATTTTGTCTTGAAAATTCCACAGAAATAAATTTATTTGGCGATGTCTGGAAAAAATAAAAAAAAAATTTTTTTTTAATATTATTTCTAATTTTTTTATTTATTTATTCTATACAGAAAGAACAAGATGACACTGGATATCATCCCAGATTATACTGCGCGAAAAAAAAATTTCAGATAGCAGCTAGTATAATCCAGATATCGGTATAGCCTGGATTTTTTTAGTTACTATCTAAAAATTTTTTTCGCCACAGATATCACTGAGTTATAACCTGGAATGATATCCAGTGACATTTTTTTTTTTTTTTTTTTTTTTTTTTTTTTTTTTTCGTGTACTGTATATTTATCCTTAAAATAATAATTTATTTATTGAAAAGCAATTTGCTGAGTATTAAAAAAGCACACTAAAAACTACAAACCTTGCTTCCATTGTCTACCCTCAATCTCCAAGACGGCCGTCTTTCAGGCAAATTCGTTTCTTCAGGTAATTTGTTTGTTGTCACGGTTGTTGGCGTTGCTGTTGTTATCGTGGCTATGATTGAAGCTGTTTGGCCAAGAGAAGCTGCTGGCTGGTATTTTAAAAAAAAAAATAAAAAATAAAATTCATATTGATTTAAAAAAAAAATTTAAATAAATAATTTTAATTTAAAAGTATCATTTTATTGCATTAAAATACTGCAAGGTGTTAATTAAACTGCGGTACTTTATAAGCTATTAATTTTAAATTTAGTTACACCAAGTATCAAAACATTTGAATATAAATATGTAAATAGAAATTAACCTGCGGTGTGGATGAGGTATCATTAGATTGCTGTTGTTTTTTCTTAACCAACTGCTCAGCACTTTTAATTTCATCCAATGTAACACCCTGAGTAGAACGTCGTGTCTCTCGTACACGCTTGGCGTGAGCTTTACGCTGTGTTTCACTCTCTTCATCACGTACAGGTGGTACAAATGATCTAAAAAAAATTTTCAAGTGTCGTTAATAAATAGTTGAAGTAATTAATTAATTAATCAATTAATAAACCTAAAGATAAAAATAAAACAAACAAAACTTTGAAGCATTTTGGTGTAGAAAACGTTGTCCTGTTTAGTTTTCAACCAAAAAAATTAATAAATTAATCATTTAAATATAAATATATTCACAAAGCCAGTATAATTTTCTCGGTACGTGTTTAGATAATTAGTTAGTGTAATTTAATTTATTTACTCAATTTAGTGATCGATTAATCATCGAATTCACAATTATTGAGACAAGATGTAAATTATTAGTTGGATAATTGGAAACAAAATCCTCGGTGAATTTTCCTAAATGTTTGGCAAAAAATAAAATAAATAATAAATTATGCCAAAGCAAATAACGATCATGCTGTAAAATAATTGTGATTGGGTAAAAAACACGCGAAATAAAATCACACGATCTTCAAGGTGTATTATATCTTCGACCGTCAAACGAGTACGCACTTGAAGAAATTTTTGAAGATATTTCCTGGGCTGAGTTTCCCACCAGCAGGAGTCGTCGGTGCTGATGTTGTTGTTGTTGAATTGTAAGAGGGAGTTACAATTGCAGAGCTCGTCTCCACCACTTGTACACTGCCCATTTATTATATTTTAATAATATTAAAAGATACACAACACCATACAGTAAAATTTAATTAAGTAATAATTAAAATTATTCATTTGAAATAATTATTATCTACACTAATATTATTAAGAGGCAAGATTTGATTGTTTGTTTGTTTGCATTAAATTGTATCAGGTGTCTTGATTCTCCGACAAAATATCAAAAAAAAAAAAAAAAAAAAATATTTAAAAAAAAATATCCCCGAGACTAAATATCACACAAAATTTTCACTGATAGAAAGATTTGTTTATAGTTAAAAATATTTTTTAATATTTAACAAATCATTTTAAATACTAAGAAATATTTGTTTAATACTAAAAAGTGGTCTCTAATAAATGATTTGTTAATTATTAACAAATACTTTTTAGTACAAATAAATATTTTTATCATATATGATAAAAGGGCACACAATACGGTAACAAGCTTGTAATTGTTTTATTAAAAAAATTAATTATTTAAGATATTTTGTCGGAAGATCAAGAATCATGAAACTCATTAAATAGGCTCCGAAATTACTGAACCCATTTGAAAAATTCTTTCATTATTGGGAAGCTACATTACCCCCGGATGACATAGGCCATATTATATTATAATTAATTTTAAAACTTTTCTTAAATACCCGTGCGATGCCGGGACGGATTACTGGTATTAAATAAATAAATAAAAAATTATTAATCATCATACGAACCTACGAATTTGACTTCCCGGTACAGGACTTGTCGTTGTCGTAGTAGTTGTGGAGGTAGAACTTGTTGGAGTCGAACCAGTAGTTGAAGATATTGGCAATACTGGTGAGGACAGAAACTTATTTGTCAAAGATGTTGGAGATGATGCATTACCCTCTTGTGGTACTCGTGACAATTCCAAATTAAGTTTTACTTCTTTGCGTCTAAATAATTAAAAAAAAAAGAAAAAAAAAATAGCGATAATGAGTATAGTTAATAAATCAGTAATTAATTGAATAATTGGAGCTAGAAATACTTGATTGAATTGGTGATAAAAATAAATAAATAAAGTAGCTTGATGAATCATTTGTTACAAGGCGACTCTAATGAAGCACTAAGGCAAATGTGTGTTACTCGATTTAATTGTCGCTTATAGCATTAAAAATAAAATGAAATAAATAATATATAATTTTGATACATGCTCATGTACCTGTGAGTTTCGCGTAAAGATGCAGAACGCGCGGTCGAAGTGTTGGTGAGGGTAGGAGTAACTGGATTGCAGCGATGGAGTGTAGGGCAGGAAGATGCCTTGATGCGAGCTCGCAATGCCAGATACTGCTCATAGAACCTGCGTAACATGCATCATGCCATGCGTACTGCTATGCTCTAATACTTTTTTTTTATATATGTATGTACATGTTTAATGTATAATTAAATAATAAAAGTAATAATAATATATTAAATGATAATAAAAAATATTCAACTAATTACTAATTACTAATATGACTAATGACTGATTAAAATAATAATATTACTGAGTACTTTGGCAAATGATAACTGCTATGCAAAATAAATATTTAGCTCTATATAAATTCACTCTTTGGTTACTGATAACAAAAAAAAATGTAATGAATGAATGAAGCAAAAAAAAAAATTCTTTTGATAAATTTATCAGCAAAACAATTAAAAATACTTGTGTTAATTATAATATTTTTTGATTTTACGTACTTTTCGTCTGTCTCAAAGCTATGAGTTCTTCGTAAAACAACTTCTGAATCGGTATTCTGATTTAGTTTATTTGAGATAAGAGGTGTTTTTTTCTCTTTATCTTCTATTTCTGGAAAAAAAAAATTATTAATAAATAATAAATAATAATGAATAAAATTTTTAATTAAAATTACACTATAATTATTACCTTTAGTTGAAGCTACTGAATTAGTCGGTTCATTTTCTTGTATTCGACTTCTAAATGAACCTGACCGTCTCCACGACGGTATTGTATCTTCATCAGTATTCTCAGTCTGTTGTTTTGGTGGTAAAATTGGCGCCTTGAGTAATTATAAATCCCAAGTTATTACATAATTATTATATTAAATGTTAATAGATTAGTTTAAATTACCTGATTAGGAACTTTATTTATTTCTGGAACGTTGACTGGACTAAGTGTTCCACTGTCGTCTTTATTAGCTCTATTTTTCTTTTCTATAAATTTAAAAAACCCATTAACAAACCGTAATAATTACACTTTATAACTATTAATAATAATAATAAATATAATATGCAATAAAATATATTCACAAATTCAACTTTAGGCTTACCATCGTCAGTAACACCTAAAAATTGATCTGACTGATTAGAATAATTACTCGACGATGATGATGTTTGTGAATCTGAGCTACTCTCAGAATCATTATCACCATCGCTATCTTCAATATCAGTTTCTTCTCCACTTTCTATCCACGCAGCATGCATACCAAATGCAATGTTAATTATTCATTTAATGTTATAATACAATCAACAGTTGTTAATGATACTGACACAATACATTACTTCAAATAATATTACAACCACAATCTTTAATTTAAACTTCAACTAACTATTATGTTGAATTACGTTACAGTATAATGTAAAAAAAAAAAAAAAAAAATAAATTGACACACTCACCGACGTCACTATTCGTGTCAGCACTTGTGTCGTCTTTATCCGATTGTATTTCCAATTCAACTTTAATTACTTTATTTGGAGTTTCTTCTTCAAAGGTCTCCATTCCCTCATTGACGACTGTGTTCTCAATTGTAGGTGATATTCTATACAAAAAAAAAAAAAATATTATAAAATAAAAAAAAAGCATACATGCATACGAGTGTATGAAAAATATAATAACCGTTTCTTTGGTATCGGGAGTTGTTTTTGATTATTTAATAACGGATGATCTTTTAATATTATCTGTTGCTTTTTCTTTAATTCCTCCAAGGCCTTGAGAATATCGGTGTCGGCGACATCAAACGCCGTTTGACCCTATTTAAAAATATTTATCTCTATAAATAAATGACTTATCAATCAATTAATAAAATTAATATAAACTTACAGAAAAATTTTTAATATCCATATCACAATAATTTTCAACAAGAAGTTTACACGCCTCTAGTTGACCCCAGTGGGCTGCACCGTGTAACGGCGTCCACCCATCGTAATCTTGAGCGTTAACATCACACCTAGCTTGCAATAAAATACTAAAAAAAAATATAATTACTTAATTAATTAATACTTATTCCACCGTATATAATTTACAATAAAATTTAATTAAATAAATAAATTACTTCATGACTTTGATGTAGCCTTTGGCAGCAGCTACATGAAGTGCCGTAGCACCAGTCCGAGGATGAACGGCGTCTTTTCCAGGAGATCCAGCTTTCCAGGCTTTAGCGTCACTCAGCATCGACCTTTCTTCTTCAGTGCGCGCTAGATCACAATCTATACCTAAAATATCCCCACAATTAATTTACTATACTCATTAATTACATTATAGATAATTGACAATTATTTAACTGATAAAAAAAATTTCACATTAAGGGGCCATTCATTAATTACGTAAGGACAATTACGTAAGGCCCACTTTTCTAAATTAATTCCGGTATAATCGCAAGTTTCTAAAAGTTGATTTCAAGAAAATCGGGGTAACGTTAGACTTTAATAAATTTATTTAAAAAATAAATTCAATAACATCACAAATTTTTTAAATCACGGGTTTTGGGATTATTTTTGATACTATTATTATAACATAAAATTATCAAATAAAAAAAATAATTTTAATGGAAGTGTTGCTATAAAAGTCTACGAAAAGGGCCAATGATAATTTTTAACCCGATAATTACTCTTAGGGGCATTCATTAATTACTTAAGGCAATTTTAGTGACCTTTGACCTCCCTACCCCCATGTAAGTATATGTAAGATTTCTTGAACACCTCCTCGCCTTTCTTACGTAAAATTTTATCTTGATCTTCTAAATAATAAACTATTATGTTAGGAAAGGATCAGTTTCTCTAAAACTTACAGGTCAACGTGGATCCATCATTTTTATTCTTTAACAAGTAATAATGTTTTTTATTTTTTAAATAATAAAAATACGATAATACACGGAAAAATGTACTATAATTTTTTCTATAGAATCAAACATGGATAACAATAAAAACATATGAAATTTTAATAAGTTATTTTTTTTTTTCAATAGCAATAAAAATTATTTACAAATAAAAATTTGACTGTACATTTTAAAATTATGAAAACTATTTGGAAAAATGGAATTAGATTTTTAATATTGAATTTTGATTTACAAAATATTACGTAAGAATGAATTTCACCCCCCTTCTCCCCAACATAAGGACATGTAGAGATTTTCTTAACCCCCCGCCCCCTCAATACCCTTACGTAATTAATGAATGACTCCTTACCTGCTTTATTGATATGTTGCTGAAGTAAATCTTCCATTTCATCGCTCTCCGCGATGTCAAGGGCAAGTTCACCGTCATTATTTACAGCTGCTAAATTACATCCTTGTTCAATTAAATATCTGTAAAAAAAAAAAAAAAATTATAATAAATGAATAATTAAAATACTTGCGCAGATTGGGTGTAAAAAAATAAAATAAAAATAAACAAAATATTTTCACGTACTTGGCGATTGATATGAATCCGCACGATGCCGTTGCGTGCAGCGGAGTCCAGCCTTCATTGTCACCGCGATTAATGTCTGCGCCTTGTTCAACCAAAAATTCCACCATGTCCAAATCATCATCGATGCATGCCTATAAAACAATAGCCGTTGATTATAAGGTTACATACATATATGCGTAATACGTATATATATAATTTAAAAATACTTTATTTGATACATTATAAATATATATATGTAAATGTAAAAGTATATATGGATATTTATATATAGATTATTGGTAGTATTTTAGTCGGGAATAGCACACGTGAATCACTCATGTTCGCAAGCTGCAAATAAAAAAAAAATAATATGTATATATTTTAAACTTAAAATTATCTATTCCCTCATTCACAAAGTTTGTTGGATAATATAACATGTTTAAGTCTCGCCAAAAAAATAAACTATCTAATGTAGTGTAGAGTAGTGTAAAAGAAGTAGTAGAAAAGTATAAGTATAAGAAGATGATGATGAAGAAGAGGCAGGAGAAGAAAGAGAAGAAGACTGACAAAGAACGTAGACACATGTACAACCAGGGCTTGTGACTCCTAATAGTTAAGGACTATAAATAGAGCTTTAGGTACACACCATTTCTCATCTCTACCATAAACTCAAAATTTTTACCGCAGAATTTACTGATTTAATGGTTTGGCTATGACATAATGTCAAGTGCAGATTATATAATTCTCAATATGATTAAACAGACCGAGAAAAAAAATCCAGCAATGATAAAATATAAATGTTTTATTATTAATTCTCGTTGTTATTCTGGGTATAATTCTTAAAATTACTCCAATCAACAACTCTATTCCGTGATGATGTATTTATTTTTAGCTTTAATCAACGTTTTAAATAATCATAAGTCATGAGCACAAGAGCGGTATCAAAATACTGATTGTCATAACGGCTCTCTAGCTTTGATAAATTATTTTATTCAATAATAAATATTCATTAATATTAATTAAATTCATTAATGCGTCTTTAGAGAGTTGTTGGCTGATTAATAAACAAATAAATAAATAAATAAATAAAGAAATAATGAATGTTACATAAGAGAGCAAAAAGTATATTACTCTGTGAAGTATTATATTAGTGTTTAAGTATATGAAGGAAAATGATCGTGACAGCCGTGTACACATTGGGATAAATATCTGGCGGATCTGGTGCTGAAATTAGACAGCTGGAGTAGGTACCGAGTCGGCCATCTTGCAGAGATGCCGACAGAAGACTTAGCTGCTCCAACAACTTAATAGAACCATCAATGGTTAATAATTACTTTCATTTAATAACCTTGGTCTCACCTATGTAACTATGAGCTACGATCAAATCACTGGCATTATAAATCATTTAGCAAAATAAATAAATAAATAAATAAATAAATAAATAAATAGGGCAATTAGTCATACCTGATGGAGCGCAGTAAGGCCATCGACATTGCCAGTGTTGATATCCGCCCCCTTTTGCAACAATCTAACGACCTCTTCCTTGTCGCCAGCAGCACATGCTGCTAGGAACACACAATCGGCCGAGAACTTGATCTTTCGCGCGATTTGTCTTGGCTGGGCCGGTTCTCTATTAGTCTCTGATTGTTCCCACCGTTTAAGCTGCTCGGCCCTCTTGAACAGAGCCGAGTTAGACCTCGTCTCCAGAGACATATTACTAGTTAAATTTCAATTAAAATAACTTTAAATTAACTCTAATTTACAAAACCTTTTAACTCGTATTGCTCTCAATGAGCACGTCTAGACACCAATCTAAATCACCACCGCCCGAAGACTAATAATCCCACACTCAGACTCTCCGGGTCTCTCTACCTGGAGTTAACTTTATTTTTATCCATCAATCAATCAATCAATCATTGGGCTACATAAAACTTGTCCAATTTCCATCTCTACAATTATTACATTAAATTATACTCCAATATTATTATTATCTACCTAGATGATATTCCAACTTCTGTTAGAAACACTGAAGATACACTTGCTTGTTGAATTAGCACTGATGAACCATTAGCACTATACTAGACAACACTGATCCTCAGGGTGATCCACAGTAACTCGGTGCAATCCTCGGCCATTGATTTATCGTTTTTTTTTAGTGATATTTAGTGATTCCATTAAATAAATAAAATAACGTTTACGTTTATGACGATACTTGCGGTAATGACGTTGCTGATGATGATGATGATGATGATGATGATGATGATGATGTTGGTGGGAGGGGTCGGGTTTCGAGTGTTATCCTTTCCTGGATGACAATTAACAACACCAGTAACAAGATCTGTCCGTGCAGAAGGTATCGAACTAAAACTAAAATATTATTAAGAGGTAGAGAGTTAAGTACTTTTATTTAACGAGAGATAAAACAGCAGTAAATAGTACGTGCTGCCTTGGTCTGTCTGGCTGGCTCACTCTCTTATTTTTCGTTGTAGTTGTAGTTGCAGGCCGTCTTAGTTGGCTGACGGCTATTCTTGGTCGACCGACCCTAGTCCGTACCCGTACCAGTACCAACCAACCAACCAATACACCACCCGTATCTCTCACTCTCGGACTCAGCAACTGGATGGTAAGCAACTCTGGCAACTCCGAATTCGAGCTGCTCTCAGTCCGAAATTTACAACTACTCCAACTACTTAATTTTTGTCAACTCGAGATTGAGGAGAGCCAGCTAGTTTGAGAGAGCACCCGAGTGGAAGTTCTCACTGGTCAGAGGCCGACGAGTTGTAGCGTTTTTTGGTGTCTTGTGTATACAGCCAGTTTTTTGCCCACTAGATTTAATACACTTGCACACACATATATTTAACTTACAATACAATACAATGCAACTTACAACTACACACTACTGGTTGTTGGTTGTGTTGCTGAGACTACTCGGGCACTCTGGCTCTGGCTCTGGTGCTCTGACTGGTGACTGGTGACTACTCTAATATAACACTAATCAAGAATCAACACAATCTTCAATTCCCATTGGCCGCGCCATTTTTACATCTTATTCAATTTTAATAATTATCTTTCATTTATTATTATTGTTATTATTTGAGTTGTTCTCTCTGTTACACATTATTCGAAATATTACTCGTTGTAATAATACATTGTATTGTTGACTTATTGTCAATGATTACATTTATCATAAAAATGTTTCTGCCATTTTGATTTTCAACTGATAACCATATTTTTTATATATCGATTACACTTTTTTTAATACTTTTTTAATATCTTCTCCTTGAAACACTATCGATTATTATTATAATCGAATTGTTGACAGTCGATTAAGCTTTCTCGGTTTACTTCAAGCTCTTTATTTTACCGGCAAATTTTAAATAATTTAATTTTTTTTTTAATCAGCTGATCCAAAAATTAAAAAATATTTTCTAACTTTTAAACTTACTTATATAATTATTATAAAAAAAAATTCCACCTGTCAAAATTTTATAACCATTAATGAAAAATAATACTAAAGTTAGCCGACGTTTTTAATTATTTGATTTTTTTTTTTTTTAATAATTAAATTAAAACAAAAATATTTTTAAAAAATTTCACTTACAGTTTTTCAAGTTTTTTTACAAGTGACATTTTTTAAAAATTTTTTTGTGATTATTTTTTCAATAAAAAAAAATTCTAAAAATTTTTAAATGTCGGCTAACTTAATTTTCATTGATGAAAAAATGATAATTAATTTAGCAGATATTTAATAATTTTTAGAATGTTTTTAACAAATAAATTATGGCAAAAAAAAATTATGATATTAAAGTTAGCTGTCACTTGACCATTTTTTAATTTTATTAAACAAAAAAATTTGTTCAATTTCTTTTTCTTATTTTTTTAAGCAGTAATTTATTTATTAGAAAAATTCAAAATATTCTTTAAGCCTTAAATTTAATGACTCAATAAAAAACTAGAGGGCGGTATAAAGAACAAAAAGAGAAAAACGCGCAGCCTGGTGGTGAAGTTTAAAAATAAACCCCTGTAATGGCGGCTGTTGTTCGACACCACATCGTGTGTGACGTTACAATTTTGAACATTTATAAAAAAATAGTTATAATAATAAATAATAAAAATAAATAATCTTAAATAAAAATAACAATCTTTTAATTAATTTGATGTAAATATTTATTTAAAGCTAGTTCGGTAATAAAAATAATAATTTCATTGTGACGCCGTTAGCGGGATTTGGGTGCTAGTGGGGGTTAAACTCGTCGGGGGGGAAATAAAAAACTAACCAATCGGTTTCTGCGTATAGCCAAGAGCCATACGAGACTGAGTGACAAAAATCCAACGGACAACAGTCTTAATAACAGAATTATAAAAAAAAAAGACATTGAGATTTTGCAAGTAGACTTCTGTGTGATTTTTTTTCAACCAAAATTATTCTCTAGATTCTTTTTGATCACCATCATTGTTCCGCCTATTTGCATCAGCATTATTACTATTATTATTATTTTTATTATTATTATAAATATAATTGTAATTATTAATTTAATTTTAATCAGTGTAGTTAAGTAATAATAATAATATTGTATTGAAGTGATTCGCAATGACGTTATAGTGTGAAAAAAATAAATCTAAATATCGATCCCGATGTTGGTCGTAGGATTGTGCAAATGTAGTTTTCATGGTTATAAAGTGGATAGAAACTGGAGAAGAAACTGGTTGTGGTTACCCAAGAAAGCTTCAAATACGTTTGAAGCTTTCGAGGTCGGATTAATGGAACTATGAACCTGGACTCGTTATCTTTTACTTTAACACAAATAAATTATTTAATTGTAAATTTAAATAAGAAAAATTATCGCGACAGTACCGAGGAAATATCAGTCGTAAGTTTTTCTCAACAATATTTTTTATTATTACCCTCAAGTAGTTATTTTAACAATAGCTCTTTATTAGTTTTATAAGTATCGGAAGTTTAGCTCGTCTTCCGTTGCACTAGACATTTTTTTTTACCATATGTTTGCTGCCTGTAGAGGTTATTCAAGCCCAAATTTAATGGCCATGTTTAATCTTACTTCCGGTTTTATTTACTCAGATTTTTATGCTCCCTAAAATGAGCTCTAGCAAACATTTTAACGTTAAATTTTTTATTATTTTTTTTTCTCTGTAATAATTAACTTTAATAACAAATGATAGTCGAATTAACTTGCACTGTAAAAACAAAGGCTTGATTTATTATTTTAATTGATTAGTATGCTTATTTATGTTTATATTTATATTAATAAAAAAATATTTTAATGTCTTAGTTAGTACGGTGGAAAGGTCTAGAGGCAGACAGACATTTGTTGCGCTGTTTGTTCTCGCACATTGACTTTTCTACAGGAGAAACGCCAAACACTAGCTCCAAGGATTATTATCAAGTTCAATTGCTCAAACAAGAGTGTACAAATATCCTTGGAAAACCGTCGTTGGTCTCAAATCTTTGTTACGCTATTGACCATCCTCTCCATCATCAAAAGGTAAAGAAGTTTGTCATTAATTGACATTAATTTTATTTTTTTTTTTTTTTTTTTTTTTTTTTTTTTTTTTTTTTAAATATTAACTTATTATTTATTAATAAATCTTACAGACTTTGAAACCATCGCTGAAATTTTTTCTTCACTTACGACGAGTACTCAGTTTAACTCTCGTCCAAGAAATTGTTTTTGCCATTGCATTACAGCACTCAGAAAACGCCGAGTTGAGATCATTGGCACTTGAAGAAGTTAAAAAACAACTTCCAGACTTGATAAATAATTACATACAGTCAGCAGACAGTACTGGCAACAAGCAACAGGAGGACGGGCTTCACGATTCCTCGCCGGAAGTCTTACATTTGATACTCATTGAAACATTGAAAGATCAAAATTCTTACGGGCTTTCGTTGGAGACTAAAGAAAAATTTTTGAAAAATTTGAAACGTGATTTTCCCCGTGAACTGGTACCAGTGGTGCTAGCACCACTATTATATCCAGGAGACGGGGAAATTACTCACGTACCCAACGAACTCGATATGGCCACCAATCAAATGGTTTGTCATTTTTATTTATTATTTACATTGTATTGTTTATAAATTACAGTGGAATCTCAGTAACTCGAACGTTGTTAAGTCGAAATCCTCAATAACTCGAAAAAAATCTGTATTCCCTTCTCGAATTATTTAGACTCTGTAACTCGAACTTAGTATCGTTTCCCTTCCAGTATCGATAAAGGACATTTATACTCAATAACTCGAATTTTAAAAATGAAACTCTATAAGTCGAAGTTAATAAAATATAGATAATTTACTCCGAACCGTCCAAGATTATAGCAATCAAATCTAAATTTCTATAGGAATTTTCAATCCTTCTTACATTCTTATTTGTAATGTATATTTTCTCTCTAAGTTATTTTTTTGGAAATCAAGTGTTTTCTTAATTTTTTTGAACATCTTGTTAAGTCGTAAAGTCGTTTTTATCACTTCTCTTGAAGTTCGAGTTATCGAGAGTCTACTGTGTATTTATATTATTATTTTTATAATTAAAATTTTTTTTTCTTTTAAAAATTTAGGACGCCAACTCGTTAGTCGAGTTGATAATGGAATTGGGCTATGGATTTACCAACAATGTAGAAGACTGTCGCGCAGCCTTAACTGGCTTAGGAGCGCGAGAAATATCTCCATTGGCTGCAGCACGCGTCCTGGCTCATATGGCACGAACATACAGTGGGTTAGACGACGCTGGTGGCTTGCAGTCATTTTGGAGTATTTCATCGAACAATGCTGACGGTAACAAAGATAAATCAGACGGTAATCCATCAAGTACATGGAATGTTGAAGTATTTGTACAGACATTAAAAGAAATTCAGTCAACATTATCATGGAATGAAGTGATTGTTAAATTAGATCATCCCGATTTTCACATTAAAAATCGCCAAAGTTTGAATCTTTTGATAACTGGTCTAAGACTTGGATTACAATTACAAGGTTTTCCATTGGATGTATTTCCAGTTGAGTTATTTTATCGTCATTGGGACAATGTCGAGGGACAATTTTCTTTGATACAGCAAATTTTGAAAAATCCCGATGTATTTTGTTTCGCTGACTATCCCTATCATTCGGTGACAGTAGATGTACTGAAAGCAGCACCGGAAGGCGACAGCAAAGAATCCCAAACTTGGCGATCACTTAATGTAGTAGAGCTGTTACTTCATATGGCTGAACGCGGACTCAATGGACCTGTACAAGATATATTTAAATGGCCGATCCAACACTGTCCGGATGTACTTGTTTTAGCGTTACTCCAAATTAACCCACCGATTACAATGTTACGGCAAGAATTGCTGAGCACTTTAATGCCAATATTTTTAGGCAATCACCCGAATTCGGCAGTTATTTTACACCACGCTTGGCATGCCAATAATTTAAAAATAAAGTCGATAATAATGCACGCAATGGCTGACTGGTATTTACGCGGTGATAATGATCAGACAAGATTATCTCGAATTTTAGACGTAGCTCAAGACCTAAAAGCTTTATCAGCATTATTAAAGGCACAAAGTTTTCCATTTGTAATCGATCTTGCTTGTTTGGCATCACGACGAGAGTACTTGAAACTGGAAAAGTGGCTCGGAGACAAAATACGTGACCACGGTGAAATATTCATCGCAGCATGTGTTAAATTTTTACAACGAAGATGCCCACAAGTGATGGGACCGGGTATTAAAGAAGACACAACCATCCCCAAGGCCAGTCAACTGCCTCAAGAAACTTTGACAACTATTCTAATGGTCCTGCAACCTTGCACTGCAAGTCTGTCCCAAGAACTAGCTGATACCATAATTACGATGATCGGAAACTGCAGTATGATGTTGAAGACTAATTTAAACAGACCACCGCCTCCAGGAGTAATGCGTCATCCCGCATTAGACGTATTTAATCCAGTTAAATTGGCAGCTCCATTGTTTCCAACGAAACCTATTGACACTCTGGGTAACTTGAGCACTAATTTAGCTTCAATGGGTATCGGATCTGGTCTAGGACCGCCTAGTACCTCAGCTTTTAATTTACCCGGTGCTTTAGGTCCTCTGGTATCTGCACCAGGATCTCCCTCGAGGCTAATGGGTCCATCGCCAAATCCTTTTCCAATGATGCCAATGTCTTCGCAAATTCATTCTGGACCAGTCGGTACTCAGAGCACTGCTGTGATACCCGGTGCTGCGTCAATAGGCGGTAATGGACGTTTAGGCCCGCCGGCGAATATTGAAAAGACTAGAATACCTGAAATATCAAATTTATTCCCCGATATGCCGCAAATAGTGTCCAAAGACATTGAAGATGAAGCCAACAGTTATTTTATGGGTATTTACAATCATTCACCTCATCAGACTTTGTCAATCGATGAGGTGCTTGATATATTAAAAAAATTTCAGAATTCTACTATAAAACGCGAGCATGATGTATTTCAGTGTATATTACGTAATTTATTAGAAGAATATCGATTCTTTCCGCAGTATCCTGAAAAGGAACTTCATATCACTGCTCAATTATTCGGCGGGATTATTGATCGTGGATTGGTAAATAATTACATGACACTGGGAATAGCGCTTAGGTTTGTTTTAGATGCTCTGAGAAAACCAGAAGGCACTAAAATGTATTTCTTTGGCTTAGCAGCTCTTGACAGATTCAAAAGCCGTTTAAAAGAATATTCAACTTATTGCGAACATGTAAGAGCTATTCATCATTTTCTTGAGTTTCCATCTCACTTAGTTGAGTACATTGAATTTGGATTGAGCGGGCAAGAGCCGCCTCATAAGCCTCAAGGACCTATTTACCCAAAATCACATCCTCTTATGATGAACCAGGCTACCACTGCTTACAAATCCATAACTACAACGACCGCTACGAGCAACACGCAGTCAAAACCATCCACTACGCCAACAACTTCGATGTCTGCTCGGCCTTCTATTGCAAATGCAACAAACATCGATACACTGCTCGTGGCTACTGATAAAGAAGAAATGAAAATAACAGTACCGCCAGAAACAATGCAAGACAAAACTGCATTCATTTTTAATAATTTGAGTCAGATTAATTTACAAGCTAAGTGCGATGAAATACGTGAAATTGTCACTGAAGAATTCTGGCCTTGGATTGCTCAGTACTTGGTTATGAAACGGGCGAGTATTGAATTAAATTTTCATGTACTGTATTCAAATTTTTTGGATTATCTTAAAGTACCAGAAGTTAATAGATTGGTAACGAGAGAGACTTTTAGGAATATTAAAGTTTTATTACGCAGTGATAAGGGTATTGCCAATTTTTCTGACCGTTCTTTGCTGAAAAATCTCGGACATTGGCTTGGTATGCTAACACTTGGAAGAAATAAACCAATTCTACAAGTTGACATTGATTTAAAAAGCTTATTAGTAGAAGCGTATAATAAAGGTCAGCAAGAATTGTTGTACGTCGTGCCCTTTGTCGCTAAAGTTTTAGAAAGCTGTGCCAAGAGTCGTGTTTTTCGGCCGCCAAACCCTTGGACCATGTCTATAATGAATGTCCTCGCTGAGTTGCACCAGGAGCCAGATTTGAAGCTGAATCTCAAATTTGAAATCGAGGTTTTGTGTAAAAATCTTAGTATTGATGTTTCGGAATTGAAACCTGTGATTTATTTGAAGGATCCTGAGAAGATAAGGAGTATTGAGTACCAACTGTCTCAACCTAATAAAAAATCTGAGGCGTCTCATTCTGCTCAACAACAGCAGCAACAACAGCAACATCAACAACAACAACAGCAGGCTCAACAACAGGCTCAACAACAAGCGCAACAACAAGCGCAACAACAAGCCCAGCAACAAGCCCAGCAGCAGCAGCAGCAGCAACAACAACAACAACAACAGCAGCAGCAAGCACAGCAGCAACAACAACAGCAGCAGCAACAACAACAACAACAGCAACAATTGGCTCAACAACAGTCACAACAACAACAGCAGCAGCAACAACAACAGTCGTCTCAACAAAATACAATGGAAGAATTGGTCGGATCTTCAGCACCTGGTGTTATTTCTCAGCCTCAGCCGGCTAATACAACTCCATCTCTTCCTACCGGTCCTCCAGAGCCCCGATTTAATTACATGGACATCAATGTATCCAATGTAGCCAACGTTGCTCAACATATAACTGTCAACAATCAGCTTCCGCTTTTGCAAGCGAGTCCACACTTGAAACAATTCATCCGGCCTTCTATCGAGCGCGCAATTCAAGAATGGATTCATCCTGTTGTAGATCGTTCTATTAAAATAGCTCTTACCACCAGTGAGCAGATTGCTAGAAAAGATTTCGCTCTAGATCCTGATGAAACCAGAATGCGTCAAGCTGCGCGTCATATGGTAAGGAATTTAGTCGCTGGGATGGCGATGATTACTTGCCGAGATCAAATATTGGCGTCTATTAGCACAAACTTGAAGCAGGCATTTTTGGCAGCACTGATGGGCTCTACCCAACAACAAAAAGATCTCGTAGAACAGGCAGCTAATGTCCTTGCTGGTGATAATATGGAATTGGCTTGTGCTTTCGTCCAAAAAACGGCTATTGAAAAAGCGATGCCGGAAATGGACAAACGGCTGTTGAATGAAATTGAGCTCAGAAAAATAGCTCGTCAAGAGGGACGTCGTTACTTTGATCCTGTGGCTAAATACCAAGCCGAGCGTATGCCGGAACAAATTCGCTTGAAAGCCGGAGGAGTAACTCCTCAGCAAATGGCTGTCTATGAAGAATTTGCGAGAAATATTCCCGGATTTTTGCCGCTGTCTGAGCGTGAAACTCAAGCTCTGTTTATACCCAAGCCGATAAGCGAGCCGACAGCAGTGACAGCTTTCGCTTCAAATCCCGCTGTAACATTACCAACACAACAAGTCGCTGTGTATGCAAACGCAGCTGTCAACAACGACGAAGTTGGTACAATGCTCGAGAAGCTTGGCAGTGAAGTTGAATTACTTCTCACGAGTACAGCTGCCCCGCCACAACAACTCACAGGCCTCCATGCGCTTCTGGAGTCTATAATCCTCACCAGAAGGTCTCGTGACGCCGGTGCTGCAATGGCTCTCTTAAAAAGAGCTGTTGATGGACTTTTAGAGAGCCCCTCAGCTTCAAGCAGTACCATAGAGTCAGAATTAATTCTCCGTTATCGTGAATTGCATCTTAGAATTCTAAAATGCCTCCAAGACCCACGTGCTTACGGCTTACAATGGACAAACAAAAATGTAGCACGTGTATGGGCCGACGGTAGAGAAGAATGTCGTTTTAACTTCGAAGCCGTTGACTGTCTCATCAGGTCACACTTGATAAGCCTTCCTCAACTCGACGGGGCACTGGCTCAGGCTATGGAAGGAGGCATTGCAATGGCCGTAGCCTTCGCCATGCAGCTAGTCCAGGTCTACTTGATCGACGAAAGACAAACCACCCACGTAAATGAATCAGACTTGTACAATGTCCTTGAATCTTTAGCAAGAATGGCTCATCATCGCGCAACACCCGACGGCATCTCTGTATTCCGTCTCACCAGTGTCATGGAATCTCTCCGTGCTAATCATGAATCAGGTGTACTAGCTGACCGCTCATCCGTGGGACCAACTGCCCACATTCACTCGGGAATCTCCCAAGTCAGAGCCCGTGATTTTGACGACCCACCAGGACTGATGGAAAAAACGGAGTATCTGTTGCGCGAGTGGGTAACAATGCATCACAGTCCCAACAACTCGCGAGACCCCACCAAAGCATTTGGTCTATTTGTCCATCAGATGAACATCCACGGTATCTTAAAGACAGACGACCTAATCACCCGCTTCTTCAAGCTGAGCACACAAATGTGCGTGGATCTTTGCTACCGTGCGCTAGCTGAGTCTAATTTAGCGGTATCGGCTGTAAGAGCCAAGTGTTTTTTGACTCTTGATGCTTTTGTCAAGCTCGTAGCACTCCTGGTCAAGCATTCTGGAGACACCTCAAACACTCACACTAAAATAAACCTGCTTAACAAAGTGCTGGGTATTGTAGCTGGTGTTCTTCTGCAAGATCATGAAATGCGTAGTACTGATTTTCAACAATTGCCGTATCATCGCATTTTTATTATGCTATTTTTGGAACTGTGTGCTCCAGAACCCGTCCTAGAGGCTGTTAATTATCAAGTACTCACTGCATTTTGTCACACTCTTCACATATTGCGTCCAGCCAAGGCTTCAGGGTTCTGCTACGCGTGGCTAGAACTCGTGTCTCACCGAGTTTTTATTGGACGTATGCTTGCGATTACTCCTCAGCAAAAATGTTGGGGCATGTATGCACAATTGCTGATTGATTTGTTTAGATATCTGGCTCCGTATTTGCGCAACGCTGAACTAGCCAAGCCAGTACTGTTTCTTTACAAAGGAACTCTTCGAGTTTTGTTGGTACTGTTGCACGATTTTCCGGAATTCCTTTGTGATTATCACTACGGATTCTGCGATGCGATACCGCCCAACTGTATCCAGATGAGAAATTTAATTCTCAGCGCATTCCCGAGAAACATGCGGCTTCCAGACCCGTTTACTCCTAACCTGAAGGTCGATATGCTGCAAGAGATAGCACATGCTCCGAGAGTACTCACAAACTTTGCGTCGATAATTCAGCCGCTTAGTTTTAAAAAGGAACTTGATTCTTATCTCAAGGCTCGAGCACCTGTCACCTTCCTGTCGGAGTTGAGAAGCAACTTACAGGTGTCCCAAGAAGCTGGAATGCGGTACAACATACCCCTGATGAACGCGCTGGTTTTGTACGTGGGAACTCAAGCGATTGCTTTCATTCGTAACAAAGGACACACACCGAATATGTCGACTATCGCTCATTCTGCTCACATGGACATCTTCCAAAATCTCGCTGTTGATCTTGATACTGAAGGACGGTACTTGTTCTTGAACGCTATTGCTAATCAGCTACGTTATCCTAACAGTCATACGCATTACTTCAGTTGTACATTGTTGTATTTGTTTGCTGAAGCTAATACTGAAGCTATTCAGGAACAAATTACTAGAGTGCTTTTGGAGAGATTGATCGTCAACAGACCACATCCTTGGGGCTTACTTATTACTTTTATTGAGCTTATTAAAAATCCTACGTATAAATTTTGGACTCATGAATTTGTTCATTGTGCACCCGAAATTGAAAAGTATGTTTTTATTTTTATTATTATTTAGTTTTTTGGTAATTATTTACTTTAATTATTTACAAGTCGGGTTCAGCATTTTAATTTTCATTTTTTTAAACGAAATTTCTATTTGATTTTAATGATATATATTTTTTTTTAAATACATAAAAAAATGAACAATCCTGATTTGAAAAAGCTCAAAATGATTAAAAAAGATTCAACTTGACAAATATATAGATATCCATTTTGTATGGGTTGAATCGTTTTAAATCTTTTTTTTTTTAATAAAAATAAAAGTAGATAATCACAATTTTAAAAAATTTTCAAAAAAGCTTTTGAAATTTTTATTTTTTTTTTTTTATCATAAATGCGCCGTAAAAACAAGCAAAATAAAAAAAAAAATTAAAAAATGTTAATTTTTGTCCTAAATATGGCCAAAAATAGAATGGACCCTACTTGTAAATTAATCCCGAAAAAAATTTTTAAGTTACGAAAAATTCATATTATTTCATTAAAATTATTATAAAATAAAAATTATAATATCCATCTCCACAATTTTCCTGAAAAATAAGCAATCCCAGAATGGTTGCTCCATTTTTTGATATAAAAAAAATATTATTTTTATTTTATAATAATTTTAATGAAATAATATGAATTTTTCATAACTTGAAAATTTTTTCCGATTACCCTTGTAAATAATTACTATTTTTGTTTTTATAATTAATATATTAATCACTGTCAAAATTTTTTATTTCAGATTATTTGAGTCTGTTGCGAGATCATGTATGGTTCAAAAACAAGTACTATCAACACAATCAACACAAGAACCAGAATTGCCAGAGTGATAAAACGTTTTGATAAATCGTAATTTTATTCTGTGTACAGTGAACAAAGCAAAAACTTTAAAGTTATAATACTTAATATTAATAACGCGTGTATAAAGTTGCTTATATAATTATTAAGAGTGTATAATAATATTATGATGAACTTTGAAACTTTCTTTTTTTTTTTTTTTGTTTGACTTATTAATTATAACGAACTAAGTAAATATCAAGTTTAAGTAATATTAATTAGATAACATGATAGTTTAAAACAGACATGAAAACAAAAAGTTACAAATGACTAAATTGTAAGGAAAAATAATTGATATGTTAATATTTTAATAATAAAAAATAATTATATGTATAAAAAATGTTAAGATAAGTATAAAAAAAAATAAGCTGCTGACATATAAGAAAACTAAAGTTGAAGCCTCAACAAAAAATCGTGTCTTTCTCATAAAGTGCTGATTAATATAAGTAGTTATTAACAATATTATAAATATTTTATAATTATTATAAATAATTAAAATGATTTCAGTACAAAAAATATTGAGTGTCAAAAAAAGATAATAATTATTATTATCTATTATGAATAATTAGTCTTATTGTATTATATTGAGAATGAAAACGTAACAATGGTGTTCAGTAGAATTTAAAATCATTAAGAAAATTTTTTTACTTTAGTTCAGAGTTAGTAATTAATGTATTTAATCTTAAAATAAAATGGCACAGGTTCAAATTTCAGATTTTAATGTACAATTAACACTCATACAAAAAACATATACTTATATATTTATATAATATTAAATATTTAAAATCTTACAAGTAGTATCATCGAACAAAAAAATCAACATAAGATAAAAGACCCAGTTATTGACACTTGCAATTTTATTCTAATTAAAAAAAAAAATAAAATCAACTCAAAAAAATTGATAAATATAATTTTTTTGAAAATTGGTTTTTTTAAGAACTTTTTTTTTTTTTAATTAGAATAAAATTGCAAGTGTCAAACAACTAGGCCTTTTATCTTAGTTATTAATTTATATACAGTTTTCATTTGTACAGATATTTGGAAGGTTTTGGATTTGAAAATTTTTTACCGAGTTACTTGATCACGAGTAGCGTGATAAGAATCACGTTCCTTGTCAGGAAATTTAGTCGGCAGATTCGGGCTGTGTAAGTGGCATTTGGCTCGGTATCTTATACCTGCAACGTCAACTTCGTAGTCACCTGATAACACGTACTCATTGGTCACTACTTGATTACGACCTTTGTCGTCAATATTTTGAATAAATCCAAGACATACCTACATTTTAAAATTATTATTAAATTTTTATAAATAAGAGAAACAATCAATTTGATCAATTATTGTAATTACTTGGCTTTTGAAAGTATATCCATAACCGGTAGTAGTTGTCATTCCACAGTATTGTCCATTTCTATATATCGGTTCGCCTCCCCAGCTCCAGATATCGATGTCCGGATCGTGGTCAATTAATAATAATTGAACGTACTTGCGCTCAACTCCGGTGTCACGTTGTTTCATCAATGCATCCCTTCCAATAAAATCTATGTCTTTCTGTAATAAAATATATTTTATTGAATTGTCAAGACTGAGAAAATTTTTAACTCACGTCAAATTTAACACGCCAAGCACGTCCACATTCTAATGGAGTAGTAAAGGTATCTAGATCTTGACCCCAAAATGCATAAAATTTTTCCACACGCAAAGCACGCGTCGCATAATATCCAGCATGTTTCATTCCGTATTTTTCGCCAGCTTCAATCAATCTCGTATATACATGAAGAGCGAACTACAATTTTTTACAAATAAAAAAATGAAAATTAAAATGTTTGAACCCACTTGTAAATATTTATCAAAAATTTTAGTACCTCATTGGGAATGTACAAGACATATCCAAGCTCTCCAGTATGTGTCAAATTCATCGTCCTTATTCCAGTCGCCAGACCTACGTCAAGTTCTTTAAAAGTAAAAAACGGAAAATTTTTAGGACTAAGATCGGTATCAGTAAGCTCAGCTAGCAATTGCCGAGTCGCAGATCCCATTATGCAAATTGCAGTATATGCTGATGTCACATCAGACACTGCGACGGATCCGTCTGCTGGTAGATGACGTCTTATCCAATGCTTACACCTCGTTTGCTGGATTGTCGGTGCAATCATCATGTAACTAAAATTCTAACGTTTAGTCAATCAGCAATTTTACTTAATTACATTAAATAACTTACTGGTTGTGTGAAATACGAGCCAAACTACAGTCATTTTCATATCCACCGCGATGATTCTGCATTCCAGTGTGAATAATACCTCCTATTGGCACATCTACGTCATTTGAACACAGATATTGGAGTAAGTCCACAACTTCTGTACCACTTGACTAAAAAAATTTATTTATTAGTAACAAATACTTGAAATTATTAAGTTAAATATAAATTGAGTACCCATAAATCAATTTTGGTAAAAGAAGAATAGTCACTTAGACCAATTGTTTCTCTGCATGCAGCATATTCATTAGCAACCGCATCAAACCATGGTGGTTTTCCGAAAGTATTTGTGTAAGCGATTTTATATCTGCGAGACTCATCAATTGGGTCAAAATCTAAATTAATTGATTTTTTTATTTAAATAGTTCAATATTAATTTAATAGTTAAAAATTACCATCGTCAGAAGCTGGCTCAAACCAACTAGGACGTTCATATCCCATGACTTGACCAAAAACAGCACCAGCTTCTTTTAATTTAGGATAGATCGGCGACATCCTGAGATTTCTACCAGTCTTGTATTCATGGTGAGGATACTGAAGCGCGTAATGCGTACTCGGTACCTCTCTAACTCGATCACGTAAAAAAGTCCGATTATTATGGAGGCCCAAAAACCGCGAGACTTCTAGCTCGTACATGTCAAAGGAGGTTGATCCATTAATTATCAGCTCCGCAGTAGCTCGTCCAACTCCACCAGCTGCCGAAACTCCGATGGTTTTCATTCCAGCTGCGACGTAATAATTTCGAAGTTCCGGAGCTTCGCCGACGATCCATTTACAGTCGGGAGAAAAGGCTTCTGGACAATTGCACAGACGTTCTAACTCAGCATCTCCCATCGAGGGAATACGCTGGAGCATTTCTTCTAACAGAACATGAAAATGGTCCCAATCTTCGGGTAAAATTCGCTCCGAAATATTTTCTAAAACAAGCAATTTTTTTTAATGAGTTAAATTATGATGATATTTTTGTGAAATAGTTATTAGAAAAAATTAAAAGTAGATTAATTTTTTTAAGTGGCTATGTTAATCTTTAAATTTTGAGATTTACATCATGGCTAACCAGGTATTTTCCCATCTTCGAATGCTGGCTTGGCATTTGATTCAAAGCCACCGGCTAGTATTCTTCCCCCGTTTTCGCGAAAATAAACAGACCCGTCTAGATCTCGTACCACTGGAGTCATTGGATCCAAGCCTGGTATTTTTTTTGTGTGGAGATAGTAATGCTCCACTGGATGTAATGGCACCTATTCAATGAAAAAAAAAAAAATAAATTTCTAGAAGAGGATTAATTTATATTATTATGAGAATAAGAAAAATTTTGTCTCCAGAATAGTCACATGATAAAATCTATAGTCAGTTTATGATGATAAGTATTTAGGCTGCATTTAAAAATGCTCTATCTCTAGATACATAATTAAGAAATGATCTTGTATCTTGTGAACTATTGACATTTTTAAAGATATAAGCTCATCCCGATGTTACACTCATCGAGACCTTTCATTTGAGTACCCATATCAATTTTTCATATATATATA